TTCCAGTACTATGTTGAATAGGAGTGGAGATAGTGGGCATCCTTGTCTGGTTCCTGATTTTAGAGGGAATGGTTTTCAGTTTTTCTCCGTTAAGTATAATGCTTGGCTGTAGGTTTGTCATATATAGCTTTTATAATGTTGAGGTACTTTCCTTCTATTCCTAGTTTTCTTAGAGCTTTTATCATGAAATGTGTTGGATCTTATCAAAGGCTTTTTCTGCATCTATTGAGATGATCAAGTGGTTTTTGTCTTTGCTTCTGTTAATGTGGTTTATTACGTTTATTGATTTTCGTATGTTGAACCACCCCTGCATCCCTGGGATGAAGCCTACTTGGTCGTGGTGAATAATCTTTTTGATGTGTTGTGAATTCGTTTGCCATTATTTTGTTGAGGATTTTTGCATCAATGTTCATTAAGGAGATTGGCCTATAGTTCTCCTTTTTGGAGGTGTCTTTGCCTGGTTTTGGGATAAGTGTAATACTGGCTTCATAAAATGTGTTTGGCAGTTTTCCTTCCCTTTCTATTTTGGAACAGTTTAAGGAGGGTTGGTATCAGTTCTTCTTTAAAGGTCTGATAGAATTCAGCAGAGAATCCATCAGGTCCTGGACTTTTCTTTTTGGGGAGACTCTTGATTGCTGCTTCAATTTCATTTTGTGTTATAGATCTATTCAGGTGATTAATTTCCTCTTGGTTCAGTTTTGGATGATCATATGTATCTAGAAATCTGTCCATTTCTTTAAGATTTTCAAATTTATTTGAATATAGGTTCTCGAAGTAGTCTCTGATGATTTCCTGGACTTCGATGGTGTTTGTTGTTATCTCCCTTTTGCATTCCTGATTCTACTAATTTGGGTTTTTTCTCTCCTCATTTTAGTCAGGTTTGCCAGGGTCTATCGATCTTGTTTATTTTTTCAAAGAACCAACTTTTTGTTTCATTAATTCTTTGTATGGTTTTTTTGGTTTCTATTTCGTTGATTTCAGCTCTTATTTTTATTATTTCTCTCCTTCTATTTGTTTTGGGATTTGCTTGTTCTTGTTTTTCTAGGAGTTTGAGATGTATCATTAGGTCATTGATTTGGGATCTTTCAGTCTTTTTAATATATGCACTCATGGCTATAAACTTTCCTCTCAGGACTGCCTTAGCTGTGTCCCATAGGTTCCGGTAGGTTGTGTTTTCATTTTCATTGACTTCAGGGAACTTTTTAATTTCCTCTTTTATTTCATGATGATCCATTGTTCATTAAGTAAGAGTTATTCAGTTTCCAGCTGTTTGCATGTTTTTTGTCTTTACTTTTGTTGTTGAGTTCTACTTTTACTGCATTGTGATCAGATAGTATGCACGGTATATTTCTATTTTCTTATATTTGCTGAACTTGCTTTGTGCCCTAGGATATGATCTATTTTGGAGAAGGTTCCAATGGCTGCTGAGAAGAATGTATATTGTGTAGAAGTGGGATGAAATGTTCTGTAGACATCAACTAGGTGCATTTGATCTATTGCATATTTTAGATCTTGGATTTCTTTATTGATTTTTTGTTTGGATGACCTATCTATTGATGATAATGGGGTGTTAAAGTCTCCCACAACCACTGTGTTGGAGTTAATATATGCTTTTAGGTCTTTCAGGGTATGTTTGATGAAATTGGGTGCGTTGACATTGGGTGCATACAGGTTGATGATTATTATTTCCTTTTGGTCTATTTCCCCTTTTATTAGTATAGAATGTCCTTCTTTATCTCGTTTGATCAATGTAGGTGTGAAGTCTACTTTGTCAGTGATAAGTATTGCTACTCCTGCCTGTTTTCGGGGGCCACTGGCTTGGTAAATCTTCTAGCCTTTCATCCTAAGCCTATACTTACTTCTGTCGGTGAGTTGGGCCTCCTGTAAGCAACAAATTGTTGGATCTTCCTTTTTAATCCATTTCGTCAAGCGGGTGCCTTTTGATAGGTGAATTAAGTCCATTAACATTAAGTGTTAGTACTGATAGGTATGTGGTGATTCCTGTCATTTAGTTGTCTTAGTTGTTTGAAGGTTTGATTGTGTGTACCTAAGTTGAGGTTACTCTCTACTTTCTTGCTTTTTCTTTTCCTGTGGTTTGGTGCTTCCTGCCCTTTCATGGTTAATTTGGGTTTCATTTTCTGTGTGCAGAATCCCTTGAAGAATCTTTTGTATTTGTGGTCACATATTGTTTTAGTTTCTGCTTATCATGGAAGACTTTTATTGCTCCATCTATTTTGAATGATAGTTTTGCTGGGTAGAGTATCCTGGGGATGAAGTTATTTTCATTCTGTGCCCAGAAGATCTCACCCCACGCTCTTCTTGCTTTTAATGTTTTGTTGAGAAGTCTGCTGTGATTTTGATGGGTTTATCTTTGTATGTTAATTGTTTTTTCTCTCTTACAGCCTTCAGTATTCTTTCCTTAGTTTCTGAACTTGTTGTTTTAATGATGATGTTGTAGGGTGGTTCTATTTTGATTTGGTCTGTTTGGTGTCCTGGAGGCCTCTTGCATCTGTATGGGAATATCTTTCTCTAGGTTTGGAAAATTTTCTGTTATTATTTTGTTGAATATATTATGCATTCCCTTTGCTTGCACCTCATCTCCTTCAGTGCCCATGATTCTCAAGTTTGGTCTTTTGTTGGAGTTGGTGAGTTCTTGCATTTTCTTTTCACAGGTCTTGAGTTATTTAATTAATAGTTTTTTTGTTTTTCCTTTAATTACCATTTCATCTTCGAGTTCTGAGATTCTGTCTTCTGTTTGTTCTATTCTGCTGGATTGGCCTTCCATTTTGTTTTGCAATTCTGTTTTGTTCTTTTTTCTGAGGTTTTCCGTATCCTGGGTCATTTCCTCTTTAATGTTGTCTGTTTTTGTCCTGAGTTCATTTATCTGTTCATTAATTGTGTTCTCTGTTTCACTTTTTTGTTTATACAGTGCTTCTATGGTTTCCTTTATTTCTTCTTTTGCTTTTTCAAATGCTCTGTTTTTGTTGTCTTGGAATTTCTTGAGTGTCTCCTGTACATTTTGGTTGACCCTATCCAGTATCATCTCTATAAAATTCTCATTGAGTACCTGTAGCATGTCTTCTTTTAAATTATTCCTGTAGGCTTCATTGAGTTCTTTGGCATAGTTTATGTTCATTTTGTTGGAGTCTGGATCTGAGTATCTGTTTTCTTCATTTCCCTCTGGTTCCCGTACTAATTTTTTGCTGTGGGAAAACTGGTTTCCCTTATTTTTCTGTCTTCCCGTCTTTGCCCCTTGGTGTTGTTATCGTCCCTGTACTGTGTGCAATTAAGTATTTTCTGGCTTATAATAATAGCACTAGTGGTATTTTGAATTAAGGGTGAGAGGGGATGGAAATCAAAGAAGTTAAAGGAAAAGGGAAAAACAAATAATCAAGTAGAAAAAAAAAACAAAGAAGTAAAAAAAGTTTCAAAGATATAAACAGGAAGAATCAGTGTGCTAATCTACCCTAAGCTGAAAAGCCATTAGAGAGACAGAGAGAGGATTGAAAATAAAAAGTAAAAAGAATAAAGATAATAATAAAAATAAAAAATAAGTAAATGAAAGAAAAAATATAAATGAAATAAAATAAAATAAAAAATAGAAAAAAATAAAAACCTCCAAGTTCAAATGCAACGAAGTCTCAGTCATAATAATTTTGGTGTTCGTCCCTCAGCTCCAATCCTGGAGATGGTGCCTCAGATGTTGTTCTGTAGTTGTCTCATCAAAGGGGAAACATAAAGTAGTACAAAACTGCACAAAAAAACCCCAGAAAGTGTCCCAAGTTCAAATGCAATACAATTTCATTAAGTTTTTCAGCATGCAGGTGTAGTTTGGCCGTTCTCCCATCAAAGGTAGGGAGAGAGAAAAAAAAGGAGTCTGGAGACAGTTCTGTGAGTGGTATCTGTGGCTGTGGCTTGCCTGCCTGCAGCTGTCAGCCTGCTGTTTCTGCCGGCGTTATTTTTCAGATCTCTGGGTGAGCTTAGCACTCACCTGGCCCTGCATGATTTGTTTACTCAGAGTTCTCTGAGTTCTGTGTGCGAGCCGCTCCTACAAGCTTTCCCCTTTCCAAGAACACTGCGGGAGGTGACACTGCACCCGCTTTCTCAGGCCACCGTGTTTGTTTACAGATCATGTTGGAGGTGGGTCTTCTCTCCTCTCCTGTGGAGCTTTCCTCCCTCCGTCACTCTCAGAAGCTTTCCCGTTCCTGGTTGCTGGGCGTGCACCTTTGCTCCTGTCCTCTCTGGCCAGGCCCGGCTTGTTTATTTAGTTCCGGGAGGGATTCCCCTCCCCCCCTTTGGTGCTCCGGGCATCCCACCCTCTTTGCTACTTGTCTTTATTGTTCTTATTGCTTATTACTCAGTTTCTCTTTTTTCCCCGGGTTGGGGGTCAGTCTGTCTAGGGGGCTATGCTGATCTGGCCGAGGGTTGTCTGTGGGAGTACCATGTACCGCTTAGTTCACCTTGTCTGTGTCTTCCCAAGCCGTCTGGGCACGGGCAACTGGCGGCCCGGGGGCCCTCCTGGTTTCTCCGTTTAATGTGAAGTAGTGATTCTCTGCACAGGCTGGAGGTGTGGAGCTGTAGTTACCTTTTTGGATAAGATCTTGTGTTTTTGCCAAGGCTGGCCTGAACTGTGATCCTCTTATTTATGCTCTTATGTATCTGGGTTGACAGGCACATTCTACTATACCCAGCTATTGGTTAAAATGGGGTCTTGCTAACTTTTTTGCCTGGGCTGTCCTTGAACCTCTATCCTCCCTAAATGCCTCCCACCTGGCTGAGAAAAACCACCACACCTGGCTAAAGTACTTACATATTTTTGTGGCTCATGAGGTACATTGTCAAATTCCATGCAGAAGTGTATGCCAATATGAGGAAGAATTATTTAATCAATTATTCTTAGGGACCCTGTGATCAAAATTAACTGTACTTCTGTTTGCTGAAACCACCTTCTTTATAGTAGTAGTGACTGCTACTTCCTACTCTTTTCTCCTTATTGAAAGGTTCTCTTAAATGTTTTCTTGGAACCTTGAAGATGGAAATGACATCTCTGAAACGTGGGTGCCTTGTTGTTGAAGATAATGACGGTGAGGCCCCAGCTGAGGAAACAAAAAAACAGAGGATCTCATTGGACTGTTGTCTGACCAAAGGTCAGGATGGACTAGGAAATGAAAATCTACCCAGTAGTGAGAATGAGCCTGGGCTACCAGATACTGTAAGTGCAGGAAAAGGTAAAAAGAATTCTGATGGTCAGTTGGAGGAAGAGGAGGAGGAAGATGGCCTTTCAGAGGAGGACACTGAGGAGGAAGAACCAGAGAGTTTTGCAGACATGATGAAGCATGGACTCACTGAACTTGATGTAGGCATCACCAAGTTTGTAAGTTCTCATCAAGGATTCTCAGGAATCTTAAAAGAAAGGTATGTTTAGTTTATGTACAAAGTTATTTTTAATTGTATTAACTTTTTTCTTTAGAAAGAAATCAGCATTATAGTCTTCCATTTAGCTCCCTAACCCCCAAGGATTATGTATAGTTACAGTCAAAAAGGAATGGAATAAAGAAGGTTGCATAAATAGTCTTTTTTTTTTTTTTTTCCATACTGGGGTTTGTGCTCAGGGCCTTGCTCTACCACTTGAACCTTGGCCCCAGCTACCTCCCCCCTCCCACCACTGCTTTTTCTTTTGAGACATGGTCTCTCCATGTAGCCTAGGCTAACCTCAAGCTAGCTGTGTAGTCCAGGCCATCCTCAAACTCATGATCCTCTGCCTTGGTCTCCTGAGTGCTGAGATTACAGATGTGTACTAGCACACCTGGCTAATGGTCAGTTCTTATCAAGGGACAATCCTTCCCAGAATTGTTTGAGTGAATAAAAGTAATTTCCCAGTGATATACATTGAAGTATATAAGTGATTGCTGTTCATTTTATTAGATTCTTTTAAATGGTTTCTTTTCTGAGTCTTGAAATTTTAGAACTCTCATTTGGAGCTGGTGGAGTAGCTCAAGCAGTACAGCACCCACCTAGCAAGTGTGAGGCCCTGAGTTCAAACCCAGTACCGTCCCCCTCCCCCCCAAAAAACCCACCTCTTTCAATGAATATACCACATCATCTACAGTAGAAAGAAGGTGATATTTGGTGCCAGATGGTTCTGGGTGCAAATGTAGTTTGGCCACTAAATAGTTACTTATTTCCCCTGAGCTTTAGTATCCTTATCCAAAAAATGTATCATAATATCACAGTGGAGTTGCTGAGAGTATTGTAAATAATGTGTGTAAGGTATTGTACATAAAAACTTCAGAGTAGCTCATGGCAAACACACAGGTTTCTGATTTAATTAACCATCTGTTGGGGCTAGTGGAGTGCTCAAGTGGTAGAGTGCCTACCTAGCAAGTGTGAAGCTCTGAGTTCAAACCCTAGTACCACCCAAAAAAAGCCAAAATAATAATAATAATAAAAATAAATACTTTTAGTATGTTTAATTGAATAGGGATTATTTGAATATCCACAGGTTAATATCAATAAGTCTCTGGAAGATATTCTAGAAGCTTCTAGTATAAAACCCAAGCCAAGGTGTGGCTCAGCATTTATTAGAAAACTTCACAGTTGCAATTTTTTGAAATCCCTTGTTTTATACAATAGTAAGGCTATTGTTGATAAACTGTACCCTAAAATTGGCAGGAAGTAAAATGTTCATTCTCTGAAAATTTGTGTTTTTATCAGATATTCTGACTTCATTGTTCATGAAATAGGAAAAGATGGACGGATCAGCCATTTGGATGACTTGTCTGTTCCAGTGGATGAAGAGGTAGAAGTAGCCCTCTAGTAAATGTCATAGAAAAAGTATTTTCTAGCAATCATAGAAAAATTGATCTTTATTATCTTTGAATTCACATATGACTCACTGTGAGTTCTCATGGTTGTTTGAAAGGATCCTTCTGAAGATGTATTTACAGTTTTGACAGCTGAAGAAAAGCAGCAATTGGAAGAGCTGCAACTTTTTAAAAATAAAGAAACCAGTGTTGCCATTGAGGTAAGTAGTGCAAAAATACATGAGAAGATTTTAATAGTTTTGATGGCTTCTTTTTGGGTGTCCATTGAAAAAATTGCAGTGTTTTTATGCTAAGGGAAATATGCCAAACTGAGAAAGACAAGTATCACATGTTCTCGCTACTAAGCAGAATCTAGACCAAAAGAAAAAACATACAACAAAAAAAGAATGACATGTATAAAACAGATGGTTGGTGGAGAGGAACAAGTGGAAGTGAAGAGGATGAAAGGAGAGGGTGATAGGGGTTGGATCTGATAAGAGTCCTTTACATGCATTATTAAAATAGGATAATGAGACCCATTATAATTAATGAAAGGGGTAACAGGGCTAAGAATGAGTAATAGACTAGGTGGATTTGATCAAAGTACATTATATACATGTATAGAAACACCACAATGAAATCCCTTTGTACAATTAATCCATACTAATTTAAGAAAAAGTACAGTGTTAAGTGAAAGGGTGACCTTGTCCTATTTGATCTGAAAGGACACTATACTGAAACGTTGCTATCGGGGCAGATAAGCTATAACAAAAGAAGTCATGAGGTGCTGGGCACCAGTGTCATACCTGTAATCCTAGCTACTTGGGAGACTTGAGATCAGGATGCTCAAGTTTTAAGGCCTGCCCATCTCCAAAATAACCAGAGCAAAAGAGACTGGAGGTGTGGCTCAAGCAGTAAGAGCACCTGTTTTGCCAGTATAAAGTCCTGAGTTCAAACCCCAGTCCCACCAAAAAAAAAGTTACAAGGTTGTTTTTTATTATTTTGGGGGGCTTTTTGTTTGTTTTGAGAGAGGTTCTTGCTAAGTAGCCCAGGCTGGCCTTGATCCTCCTGTCTCAATCTCCAATACTGGGATTACCACCCCCATACCCAGCTAACAAAGTTATGTATTTGCTTTAAAAAAAATTATGATCACACATCAACAAAAAAATGTGTTGTTTAGAACCACAGAATGACAGTTACATTGCTGCAACAGTACCTCTGTTGCCTGGTAGTCAGATGTGTGCCTTTTTCTAGTGCCTCTGGCTTTACAGCCTTAGTCTCCAGTGGGGTTCCGGAAAGGGGAGTAACTGGAGGAAGGAGATAGGGAGGGCTCATTTGCTCAACCTAGGTCTACTTCTGCTGTTTGAGAAAAAGGAGAGTTTTAGATAATAAATAGAAGAGTAAATTTTTAAGTGTTTCCTAATGGACATTTTATTCAATAGTGCCATCCAGTAAAATTATGATGCCCTTTTTTTTTTGGTGCTGGAGATCAAACTCAGGGCTCACACATGCTAAGCTCATATTCTACCACTGAGATACACCTCATCCTCTATATTTTTATTTTAAGATTTTCTGGTAGCCACGTATTTTTAGAAAGTAAGGAAAAAAGGCTGGCGGCATGACTTAAGTGACAGAGCACCTGCCTTGCAAGCATGAAGCACTAATTTCAAAACCTAGTACCACCCCCCCAAAAAAACAAACAAACAAGAAAAAGTGAAATTACTCACATATGTGTGTATTTTTACTCTTACTCAAAATCTTATCATTTCAATATGTATATAATAGGGTATGAACTTAGGACCTCCTTGCACTTGGTAGGCAAGTGCTCTACCACTGAACTATCTGTCACCCCCTGTGGTACATTTTACTGAGCTATTAGATTTTCTGTTGTCTGAAACACCCTCAGCCACCCCTGTCACTCGCAGTTAAAAAGTTTACTGTGACTTCTCAGAATTCATGATACGCCTCCAGTTCTGCCTTCCACTCCCTTCCCATGAACACTTTGAAAAATATGTAGGTCACAATGCTAGGGAGATCCACTTTCTGAATTTACCCCTGGACAAAATCCTCAGCACTGCCAACTAAAACATTTCTAGGATACATCATGTTTTGTTTTTCGTTTAGTTTTGATGTTTCTTTCTGCTCTTGTTTGTTTGTTTGTTTGTTTGTTTGAGACAGGACCTTACTATGTAGCTCAGACTGGCCTTGAACTTGAAATCCTCAGCCTCTTCAAAGTTTAGATTATAGACATGTGTCACTATGCCCGACCTATTTTTTTTTGTGGCACTTTTGATTGAACACAGGGCTTCCCAAATGCTAGATAGATGCCTACTGAGGTGCATCCCCAGCACTAAGAATAGGCTTCAAGAGCAATCAAGGAGGATAGTCCTGGTTTCCCTGATGTGTATAATGCAGTGTATGGCTTAGCCCTATAATAAGCATTTTCCTATACATGTGGCAAAAACTCTTATCTTAAAAGCCATAGTTATACCATCTGCTAAAAGTTTTAACTTTAAAAATATATCAGGTATAATCCAGTATTTATTTTCTATATTAACCAGATATAAGTATCTAATCTATAAATTTATTTTACCCCCTTCCATCTGGCACTAGAGGTTGAAGTCAGAACCTTGTATTTGCTAGACAGGCACTCTACCACTTGAGCCATGCCTCTAGCCCAAAGTTTTTTTTTTTTTTGTTTTGTTTTTCATTTTTCCATTTTTCTTTTATTATTCATATGTGCATACAAGGCTTGGGTAACTTCTCCCCCCTGCCCCCACCCCCTCCCTTACCACCCACTCTGCCCCCTCCCTCTCCCCCCCACTCAATACCCAGCAGAAACTATTTTGCCCTTATCTCTAATTTTGTTGTAGAGAGAGTATAAGCAATAATAGGAAGGAACAAGGGGTTTTGCTGGTTGAGATAAGGATAGCTATACAGGGCATTGACTCACATTGATTTCCTGTGCGTGGGTGTTACCTTCTAGGTTAATTCTTTTTGATCTAACTTTTTCTCTAGTTCCTGGTCCCCTTTTCCTATTGGCCTCAGTTGCTTTAAGGTATCTGCTTTAGTTTCTCTGCGTTAAGGGCAACAAATGCTAGCTAGTTTTTTAGGTGTCTTACCTATCCTCACCCCTCCCTTGTGTGCTCTCGCTTTTATCATGTGCTCATAGTCCAATCCCCTTGTTGTGTTTGCCCTTGATCTAATGTCCACATATGAGGGAGAACATACGATTTTTGGTCTTTTGAGCCAGGCTAACCTCACTCAGAATGATGTTCTCCAATTCCATCCATTTATCAGCCAATGATAACATTTCATTGTTCTTCATGGCTGCATAAAATTCCATTGTGTATAGATACCACATTTTCTTAATCCATTCGTCAGTGCTGGGGCATCTTGGCTGTTTCCATAACTTGGCTATTGTGAATAGTGCCGCAATAAACATGGATGTGCAGGTGCCTCTGGAGTAACAATCTTTTGGGTATATCCCCAAGAGTGGTATTGCTGGATCAAATGGTAGATCGATGTCCAGCTTTTTAAGTAGCCTCCAAATTTTTTTCCAGAGTGGTTGTACTAGTCTACATTCCCACCAACAGTGTCAGAGGGTTCCTTTTTCCCCGCATCCTCGCCAACACCTGTTGTTGGTGGTGTTGCTGATGATGGCTATTCTAACAGGGGTGAGGTGGAATCTTAGTGTGGTTTTAATTTGCATTTCCTTTATTGCTAGAGATGGTGAGCATTTTTTCATGTGTTTTCTGGCCATTTGAATTTCTTCTTTTGAGAAAGTTCTGTTTAGTTCACCTGCCCATTTCTTTATTGGTTCATTAGTTTTGGGAGAATTTAGTTTTTTAAGTTCCCTGTATATTCTGGTTATCAGTCCTTTGTCTGATGTATAGTTTAGCCCAAAGTTTTAAAGGGCAAATCATGTGGGCAGGCTTACTCATCTATAAAATGAGGAGCAAGGACTTTCTGAATTTTTGAAGTCTAAATACACACAATGATTTTAATGCATTGCTCTCAGCACTCATCCATATGAAGAACATTTATCTATAATTAGAATGCAGGATTTTTTTTCTTTTACATTTTGTATTTTGCTAAAGTATTATAAGTGTAGCCACTAGCAGTTATAGTTTATTTTGGTATTTTCTGCTTTCAGATTGCAACCCATTAAATCAGTCTATGAAATGACATTAATAGGTCTCACAATCAGCATTTTTTAATGGAATAAATAAAGTAGAAAATACCTGTGCATTCAGTATAACGTCAGTATTATGTAGTGGAATCTTTTCTTTTAAAATATGGAGTGTACAACCATTCGTGCTTTTGAATACAGAAAAACTGTGTTTCTTAGTGTGAGATACCCTCAAAAATTAAAAAAGTAGAGTTGGCAGAGTGGCTCAAGCAGTAGAGCACCTGCCTAGCAAACGTGAGGCTCTGAGTTCAAACCCCAGTACCACCAAAAGAAAATTGAAAAAATTGTGTAACTAATAAGTTTATCTTTTGTTTTTTCTTTATTGTGAGTGTTAGAATCTCACTATAAAATAATTTAGTATAGAATAAAGTTCAGCAGGAGACAGTTGTGGATTGGACTGCCCCGGGGATAGTGTCTGAAATAATCAAAAGGCTAGCTCACCTACATTTTCTCTGTAATCTCCAAAAACACTTGTCCAGCAGAGATGCTGAGAGGCAGCTTCTGTGGTTGGTAGCCCCAGAGTCCAACAGCGTGCTTTCAAATCTAGCTCTCTGCCCTCTAGCTATACAACCTAAATACATTCCATGACTTCTCTTAGCCTCATTTCTCTCATCTTTAAATACATGTAATGATGGTGAGATAGGGAGATTATAAGGATTAAACAAAACAGTATAACATGCTTGGTATAGTGTCTGCCTAGTGGACCTGATCAGTCAACAGGCCTTTAGGATTTGCAAGATTGGAAAGCTTTAAAATTGTACCCAGGCACTTTTGTCATTTTGCATTTAATAAGATGAGCCATGTTTTTACTGATTCACTGTATTATTTCCCTATTATTGTTAAAGTGGTAGTGTCACCTTATGTTTTTAATAGGTTATTGAAGACACCAAAGAGAAAAGAACCATCATCCATCAAGCTATTAAATCTCTGTTTCCAGGATTAGAAACAAAAACAGAGGATAGAGATGGCAGAAAATACATCGTAGCCTACCATGCAGCTGGAAAAAAGGCTTTGGCAAGTAAGTGTGTGAGTGACTGCTTTCTCCTGCCAGGCAGTTGTAAGGTGCACACCTGCTCCTTGTTTGCTTTGCCTGTTCACGTCCAAGTGCTGCCTTACCTTGTGTAGAGAAGGATGTTGATTCTGTCACTCCTTCAGAGAGGGTGAATAATCATTTCAGATGCCAGAGCAATCCTGCAGCCTGCATGTTGGATAAGGGGCATTCTGTCTTGTATGTGAGCAAAGATTTGTGAAATTATAGTGGTGTCTAAGAGGGTGTTAGAAATCTGATATGATCCCTGAAGAGCAGAGTGGGCTGAGTGGCACTTCAAGAGGAAAATGGGAGGATTATTGCTTACTGTGTATTCTTAATGAAGGAAAGAAAGCTTTCAGATGAACAGAAGTGCTTGTCACCTATCCCAGGGGCATAGTTTCTGCTTCTGATTTCCAACTATAGATATATTCTCCATTCACACATTAAAAACATGGAACATTTATGAAGATGACCTTTCACTTAGCCCATCTTGCATTGTGTATTGTTGTATTGTCAGTGAATGACTTTGGTATTTATGTTCTAATGTGTTTTCTACAGCTATGAAATGTGTATTTACATTGAAAACTTAGATATTTCTTTTTTCCTTTTTTTTATTATAAATTTTTTATTAGTATATATTCATTATATGGGGGTGATTCATAGTGACAATTCTGATTAGACTTATATTGTACATTATTTACATTGACCCCATCCTATCTCCTCCTCAGTCCCCTCCCCACTCCACTAAGAGCAATTGGAAGAGGGTTTTTTATTTCTTTCTCTTACAGGTTTATGAAGTCCATCAACCTTATACCATCACCTTAATCTCCTTTCTTATCTTCTTTTCGGATCAACAGATAAATTTTTTTTTGGAGAAAATACAGTTCTTTATTCCACCCCCCCCCCCATTTTTATTACCATATATTAATTGTACAGAGGAAATTCATTGCGGCAGTTCTGATTAGGCTTGCTTATATTATACATTGGTTAGATCTCCCCCACTATCACCCTCTCACAAACCTCTTGCAATTGCAAGAGGTTTCATTATTCTGTTTCATATATGGGCTTCATATACAGCCCATCAACCATAGTCCCTCACCTTCATCTCCTCCATTCATCCTCCCTTCTCTCACAAGTACCACCCCCCCCACACACACACTGTACCTATTTTACAGTCCTGTCTTTTCATTTTTAATTCCAAAGTCAATGTTCAAATGGGTTTCTCAATGTACTCCAGCTATGAATATGCTTTGCTTTACTTTGGTCATTTCCACACCCTCTGAAAATTACAATAGAAAAGTTATTTCCTTACCTTCCTCCCCTAACAGTAACTGGTACTACATGTTTAAGTTCTCCCCTCAGTTACTTCAAGATACGTTTGTTAGAGCAAAACTCTAAGACCATATAACAAGAAATTGTTGAATCCACTAAATTTAAAATTTAATACCATGAGTGGATGAAGCCTTAATTGTTTATAATGGTGGTTCTAGTGAAATGAAAGAGTGTAAGAAAAAAGGCAGCAGTAATAAGGTTTACTAAGGATGAGAAAAATCTCATCTCAGAAATGAGAAGCCTTGAGTGGTTAGGAGAAGGTTGAGGTTGGAGGCCACTTCTCAGTTAATAGCAAAAAGAAAAGTGAAGCCCATTGTGATGGCACACGCCTGTATAATCCCAGCACTTGGGAGACTGAGGCAGGAGGATCTGCCTATTACCATATGTTTCTGGAGTGTCTGGGTCATAGTATAAAAGAGTACCTTAGCAGCCTTCCTCAGTCAAGGTTGTTCAAGGGGAGTAAGCCCTGTGGGAAATGATTTCAGTGACTTTTTCAGTTCTCTCAAAGACAATATGTAGCATAATTGTCACAGGGGTAGAGGAAGTGATTTACTACTTACAATAATGTCCTAGTGCATCTCAGTTCTGTGCAGTTGGAAAGGCTATTAGGTAGAGGGGCCTTGCAGGGAAGCAGCCCATGTTGGTTAGCAGCATTTGGCCAGCTGCCCTCTGCAGAGTAGAGACAATGGGCAAGATCTTACTCTGCTTAGCGTGGTCATGAGAAAGCAGATTAGAAAAGGCGAAGACTACATATTTTTGACTGGTTGCTTCTTGGAAATGGTCCTCATTTCTTAAGGGATGCTAGGTTTTGTGAGGGGAGGAGGGAATTTGCAGGCCAAGGTGGCCATTACAGCTTCTACCTATTTTCTCTTCTTCAAGAACATGCCACATCTCAGGTTCTTTCTCCTAGATTTTTTTCTGCTATGCTACACCCATTTTTCATTTTTTTTCAATAAAAATTTTTCTTAAGCTTTTCAAATTGAAATGCTGAACGGCATCTCCCTTTGGATATCTTCAATCAAATATAATTTTTGATCTTAAAAAAGAAGCATAAAGGCAGGTGGGACTGGGTTAGTCTTTGCAGGATTTAAACCTCTTGGGCTTGAGGGATCGTGGCATTTAGTCAAGGATGGGCTAAATCTCTGCCCTCTGGGTTCTTCTCTTGCCCTGCTTCATGGAAGGCTGTTTCCTGGCCTAGGCAGACAGTTGGAAACCTGCATTCTCCTTTTCCTCACTTCTCTTGTAGAGGACTTGCCCTCACCACAAGCTAACAGTGGCCTAAAGTAAATGCCACTAAGAAAACAGGGAGAACTTGTATCTGAAGACTTTTTCTTGACCCTGAAAATAGAACCCAGTAGTAATGACAGTTTGTCTCCCTGGGCCACCTTGCCTAGTATTGACTGTGTATTAGCCTAAAAGCTTCCTTGCAAAGCTTTATCATTTATAATGTTTTTAGGTTCATTTACTACCAGTGATATAAATCGTTACTGGGTTACACATTATTTAGCAGATTTTGTTTTGTTTTGTTTTGTTGACACTGAGACTTAAAACGCAGGACCATGCTCTTGCTAGGCATGTACTCTACCACTTGAGCTGTGCCTCTAGCCCAGATTTGCAGTGTTTTTAACCAAAACTTTTCTCAAATAGAACCATGCATCTTAAAATGTAGGCATGGTACATTTCTGAATATGGTGTTCAAGAACACAAATAGCCATGTATTTAAACTCAAACATTATTTTGTGTGTTAAGCCAGTCTGAGAGGACACATTGCTTTACATATCAAACACAAAACATGTGTTTTCTAAAAATACCAAATAAGTATTATAACATTGCATAAACTGGTATATTAATTTACATTTTTAGATAGTGCAGATTCCAAATGCTTCTAGGAACTTGTTTTTAGATTTAAATTAAAAAAAATTCTGGGCTCAGCCTAGTAGTATACTCCTGTAATCTCAGCATATGAGAGGCTAAGGCAACAGGATTGTGAGTTCGAAGACAACCTGGGCTGCATAACTAGTTTGAGGCCAGCCTGGGACCCAGTCTCCAAAAACAAAAACATTCTGCTCTGTGATATATACTGATCCTACAATTTTGAAATGAATGGTTCCCAGGAGGATCCTTGGGTTTAGGGACCTACAGATTCAGGAGGAAAGGCCTGGTAGACACACAAAAAAACTCTTTTTGAAAGAGACTGGTATTATAGCAATAGGAAATGATCCAAATAGGCACAGTAAGAAAGGAGCTCTGAAATTTCTCCATCAGTTTAGCAACATGGGATCCCTGATGACTTTTCGCATTAAAGTAGTTGTAGTGGAATGATGAGGTTGGAAACATTTTATTCAGGAGGTTGAGATGGGAGGCTGTATAGAACAGCTTTTTCAAATAAGCTACAAAGAGACTGAGAAAGGAAGGGAATGTGGTTAAGGAGAGGGGTACATAGATTTTGGCTTTTCAGATGGAAGAGCTGTTAGTATATTTTTATACTGAAGGGAAAGAGCCAGTGGAAAGAAAGGGAGAAATTCAGGGAGGAGAGTAATAAAGATGGAGTAGGATCCCTGAAGAAGCTGGAAGTTTGTAGTCTAAGGGGTCAATGGTGAGAATGGCCTTGAGTAAGAAAGAAAGAATGTTCTGCATGCTTCCCCATCATGTCATCTTTCTCAAGCTACAAACATCTTTCCTTCCTTATTCATGGGGATTTCTGTGCTCAGTGACACATGACTATTCCAGATATATTTCCCCTTGTATCTGGTTTCCATTTCTACTAGACCAGGCTGCTTGTGTTAGACACCCAGAAGGTGGAAGCAACCTTCTGGAAAGAGCAAACATGTTACCCTGCCAAAGAATTCTTTGCATTTATATTCTAAATCAGAGCATCTCGAAAATGTTACCTTAAATTCACCAAATTTTATAGCTACATATAAATATTACTTGGGGGTTGGAATTTATAAAGTTAAAAAAAAAAGTCCAAATTAACTGTTGATTTCCTGTTATTAAAAATATTCTAAGTTAACCAGTGCTAATGCTTTACTATTTAATATATTGAGTGCACTTAGGAAAAGAATACTTGTGTTTAGTATTTAAAGAGGAGATAATTGTATACATGTTCAGTGCTTGGATTTGCTAATAGAAGTTGCATGCTTGGGAGTCAAAATTCATACTCTGTCGTCATGGTTTCTCTTAAGGGATAATAGTTTTTAGTTTTTCGGTCTTATGACTTCATTTATTTCTTAACATACTTACTTGTGAATGCACTAAAGGGCTAGTAGTTAAGAGAAAATGTAGCTTTTCATCAACTTTTATCACACTTGTTTTTTAAACTTTTTATTACAGATATTTTCAAACCTGCACACAAATAGAGGAAGTAGTATATGGAATCCCTATGTACCCATCAACCATCTTCAAATGTTGTTTGATCCATCCCTCCCACTTTTTTTCTTACTGGTGCATTTTAAACAAATTCTACATAATATATCATTTCACTCAAAATATTTCACTATGTATCTACCAGACAAGAATTAAAACCCCAGACCGTTGTCGCATTTTAAAATCTAAATAATTTCTTAATACCTACTAGCCCAGTACATGTTCAGTTTTGTTTTTCTCTGAGTATCTCAAAAATGTTTCTTACATACACGTCTCTTGTTCAAATAATGGTAAAAACAAGATCAGAACATTACACTCAGTGGTGTCTCAAATTATCTCTTAAATCTCTTAATCTGTAATAGAACTTAGAGAACTTTTCTGTAGTGATCATTCAACATTTTTCAAATCTTAAAAATCAGAAACTCATAAAACACAGAAAAGCATAAAGCAAAACAATAATTTCTTGCAGTCTCTCCACCAAAGATAATTTTACAGCATTTTGGATAGGTCTTGCCATATTTAAGGAAACAAATGTCTAGATGGGGAGCATTTGATATCCAGTCTTGAGCCTTTAGGCGTATCCCATGCATACAGACAGTGTAGTTTAGAGTATGAACTGACATGTCCCTGTGAAGGGACTGAGTCAGGCTGGCTGTGCCTGTAGGTAAGTTTTCTCTTTGTTCACTGTATACCTTCACAACATTCCATTGTTAATGTCTGAATGACTGTTAACCCACCATCTAACTAACTTCCAGGTGTTGTAGAAGTCCTCAATATAAACTTACCATGCGATCATTTACATGTTCACCTCTAAAGCACGTTAATATTATTATAAATTAAACATTGCTCTTTTGTGCTCTCTATGCTGTGCATTTGGACAGAGGTCAGAACTGCAGCAGGTAAGAGCAGTTGGTATTTCATGTAGATAAAATGAAATGCCAATGATCTTGTCACAAGTGCTAAGATGGACAACTTTGCTTAACTGATTGTGAGCTGAAAGGAAAACTGAACTAGATGCTTCCATTCACAATTTTCTGAGGAAGTTGTAATTTCACACCAAGAGCTTGTAATACTTTTTTATACAGGACAGAAAAGACTCATATCTACCAGGAAGGAAAACATTTACTAGGCATATGTAAACCATGGCAGTTTTCTGGGATGGTGTGTTGATTCTGTGCATTGGTTGATGGTTCTTTTCATTTTAGCTGAGCTCCTAACCTGTTACCAAGCAGTGCTTTTGCCCTGACAAAGCTAGATACCAGGAACATCTTAAGCCTCTGAAAGTAAAGAGTTCATGAGAATCCTTTTCACGTGAAAAGATGATTTTAAAGACAAAGACAAAGGGACTATTTTCAACTATTCTAGTTGAGAGAATGAAATTATTATTTCACAGTTTTTCTTTCATGGAGTTATAGAAGTCAGGTGAACCAGATGTGTTCTTTAAATAACAACTGCAGCTCTGTGCCACACAGGACTCATGAGTATTGTACAATATCTGCAAAGTGCAGCTGTGGCTTACGTATTTTTCCCAAAGTACTGATTTTTCAAACATACTGAATTTTCAAACATGCTTGAGCAGCTTAAATCTAAATCTTCTATTATTTAAATCTAAATCTTCTATTGCAGTATAATTGAAATGTTCAATTAAAAGAAAAGTTTAAAAAATCAGGTTCTCCCAGATTGTGCAGTGTTTATCAGTCTCCAAAGAGTTAAAAAATCAAAGTAAAATTGGCTCAGAAGTTAGCATTTAATGTAACTTAATTTTTCATTAAACTTTCCTTTTTTCCCAAGAGTGACAGTCAGGTCTTGAATGCTAGACATTTGTAGATTCATTGTAGGTATTAGCTAAACTTTTGTGGTGGAAGTGGTCTTTGGAAAATCTAATCGTGTTACTAATCATGTCACACGCTCTGTCCTCAACTCTGCTACTACATGTACGAACACCTGATTGTGTTTCTGAGCCAAGGCTCATAGGTTCCTCATGACAGCCTTTTCTCTCTAGGCTGTACATGGTATAGAACCCGTGGGCACTGTCAGACAGTGTGCTGATCCAGTAACCCTGCTCCTGGCACCAGGGGCTCCTGTGTATCTGCTGTTGTGAAGATTGCTGGGTTGTCCTAAGTCATTTTTCATACCACCTGCATTTCAGCTTTTGATTTTAAACACAGTGTTGTGTCCAACCAGAGAAAGCTTAATATCTGTAAGATGTCTAGTAGCTACAACCACTTAACCTGTATCTCCTTTCAGGCCAAATCTATCACTGAAAGGTCTTATATCAAAAAATCAGCTCTATAGGGGGTTTCATGAGAGGAAACTCAATTTTTTTCATGGTATATATAACATTTAATTTTTTGTTTTTAAGATCCAAGAAAACATTCTTGGCCAAAATCTAGGGGAAGTTACTGCCACTTTGTTCTATACAAGGAAAACAAAGACACCATGGATGCTATTAATGTACTGTCCAAATATTTAAGGTTAGTATCTTCTTTTTCTTAGAAACAAGTCAAATCAACAGGAATGTGTTTTCCTATTTCCATGCTAATGGGAAAAAAAGAGCAGGAACATAGGTCAATGGATAGATAACAAATGTGCCTCCCAATGGTAGTTTTCTTAGACAATATGTAAATTAATCTTTTTATCTCTATGCCAGTAATAACAGATGAAAATTCTGTAAGTAAATAGTTCACGTACAGTTGAGAATTACCCATCTATCCAGATGAAAATAAAAATGAACTCCCCTGAAAACCTACACTTTGATGTGCTTGCAGGGACTGACTTTATCAAACGGGGTGTTCTCTATTCCTAGATTCCAACTAGATAGAAAACCTGAAACCAGTCATAGTTTCTCAGAGGAATGCAAATATATTAGAGATTGTGGTCTCTGAGGATGGGTTAGGTGCCAAAGCTCTATTTGTTTTGTGTTTTTTATAGAAATGGCTGCAGTCCACAGAAAATCTGTGTTCTGTGAGGATTTCACTCAGTTAACACGACAACACCATGTATTAACTTGCTAGAACAGGCATAACAAAGTACCACAGACTAAGTACTTAAACAGAAATTAATTTTCTCGCAGTTCTGTAGGCTGGAGGTTCCAACATCAGGGTGTCAGCAGCTTTGTTTTTGTTTTTAGCCCAGAGGTCTCTCTCCTTGTCTTCTTGAATGGTTGCCTTTTCACTTTGTCTTCACATGGCTGTCCTCTGTACCCCTGACATTTGTGTGTCCATATTTCCTCTTATAAGGACACTAATCAGATTGGATTAGACTTTACCCCAACAGCCACTTTTTAACTTGCTCACCTCTTTAGAAGCCGTATTTCCAAATATGTTACTAAGGATCAGAGCTTCAACTTATGAATTTGAGGAGGGCAAAATACAGCCCATGATACAGTATCTAATTAAGTAACATTTTAGTTTATTCTGTTTATTTGCTTTCTGGGAGAGAGTCCAAGGTACCCTGATGTTTCCTGAGACCTGGGAGAGCAGACAACTCCTGATGGGGAATAGACAGTTGGGGAGGGAGTTCCTCTGGGATCTATAGTTGGGATTGCTCAGGAGTCACAAATATTCCTTAGTTAATGAGCTGCCTTTATTTTCACTTCAAAACCATTTGGGTACGTATTTTAGCATTTGACTTTTTTTTTATACAAGGCAATAGCATGCATTTAAGGAAAATTCATGTTGTTATTAACTTTTTTAAAATTGAAGATACATTTCAAAGTGCTACATTACATTTCTAGAATGATTTTTTTACTTTCACAATTTTATGTGATTAATGAATGCTTGTGTTAGGTATTTTCAAGATAGGGTCTCGAGAAGTATTTGCCTGGACTGGCTTCAAACCGTGAGCCATCTGGCAATCAAATTGGTTTTGATTGATGAAGGTGCATCATTAATTTTTTTGTTATTGGCTAACCAAATCTTTGGGCAATATCACTTGCTCACTGATAGCTACAAAAGCTCTAAGTCAAACAATGATAAGAAGAGAATTGTTTGGGTGTCATTTACTTTTCTAGTTTGCATGTTAATTTACATTTTCCTAGTTACATTTTTAAATAATGTTTGTGTCTCTTATTATTTTAAGTATATTTATTTTGAAGCTTAAATTATGAGAAATGTGATTTCCTTAAGATATGTGACTTCAGATTGTTTTGTTTCTGTCTTACCAGAGTCAAGCCAAACATATTCTCCTATATGGGAACCAAAGATAAAAGGGCTATAACAGTTCAAGAGATTGCTGTTCTCAAGTAAGTATCAGGATTTATACTGTAAAAATCCTACACTGCCTTTCAGAGTTCTCAAGTTTGCTGTATAGAATTTACCTCTTGCAAATTTAGATGATGTGTGCCTTTTCAAAAAAAATTTTTTTTCTATTATTTTCTTCCTGCTTATCTTTATTTCCTAATGTTTTTCTATCAAATGTGTTTTTTTTTTTTTTTTTTTTGCGTGGCCTTTAAAGGATTTTTATGGTAGAAGAGGAAAGTGTTTCTTTTGTTCGTTCATTAAATATCAGTGTTATTTAAAATTCAGTTACAAAACAGTGAATGAGCTCTTTTATTATAAAGCAGAGATAGATAGATGAGAAAGATGGTCTCTGCTTTTGAAGTAGTTATAATTTAGTTGGTCAGACAGAGAAGTAAAACTTACCCTGCAGTGTGATCAGTGCTGAGATGGAGGCATACTTGAGTAAATCTGACCGCAGGCATGGAATTTAGTATATCAATATGGAAGCAGGGAAAGCTTTCACAGCCAGTGGAATGCTTAAGTCTTAACTTACATCAGGGTGTCAACATCTGCACTTTTTTCTTTTCGGGTATAAACGTCTATGTTGTGAGGATATTGTGTGTTTAATAGGATACTTAGCAGCCTCCCTGGTCTCTACCCACTACATGACAATACTGGCTGCCACCTCCTCACACAGTTGTGACAATATCTAGAGGTTGGGAAACATGCCCTAAGGGGCAATATCGCCTCTGGTTGAAAACCACTGGTCTTAATTCTAGAAGGATGTGGAGTTGTTTCTTGGGTCTGGGGAGGGTATAGGTTGTTCCAAACCAAGAAAACAACTTACGAAGATATTAGAAAGACTTAAGGAGCATACCACATTTGGGACCTGACATGTACTTTGGTTTCATGGGCTTGTCGCAAGAAATAAGGCATAAGGATAGACAGAACTTCCCCCTCTTCTTTTAAACCAAAATGTTACTGCAGTATGTTCTTTCCTTGTACAAAAAGTAAATGATGTACCTCATTACCTATTATGTTAGTGCATGATGAAAGATATTTAAATATACAATATATCCTGTATATTAACTACCACTCAACTTTTGAATGTTTGTATCATTTCATGTTTCTTGCTTGTTATAAGCAGTTCCATAACAGACATATTCATAGCTAAATCTGTGATAACTTCATTAAGATAAACTTAGTGCAGTTACTGACTAAAAGGGAATATAAAATGCTTCCTGTTTGACAGCCAAGCCTCATTGCCCTAGAGAAAGGTGGTACCCATTTACCACCTTCATCCTGGTTCCCCAGAAACCTCCCCAGCAGTGTTCTTACCAGGGGAAAAAATAATTTGCTCATTTGAGGGTAAAAAGTGGCATCTCATAATTTTATTTTGCATTTTATGTTTGTAAAATATTTGAATATTTAAGACTGAAGATACTTCTCTTCTCTTTTTGGTCAGCCAGCAGGTGTCATTCTTGATGAGAATACTGTTCTGCCCTTACAGTTGTGCTGCCTTTATCATTTTCCTGCTGACTTGATTAGGAACCATATTAGACACCTAAATGTTGGCCTTTTCAAAGCGCATAGCACTTATCTCACGGATGCAGGCTACACCCTTAGTTTGCTTAATGGGGCAGGGTAGATTTGCCTTTCCCGTGAGAACTGGTGAGCAGGATGAACCCACTCTGCCAAGTAAGGATTTTAATTATTGCTGAATTGATCAGTCCTGTGGATAAGCAGCATTTCTTTTCAGCTTCACATAACTAAAACCACCTCGTAATTTCAACAGGATCTCAACAGGAACAGTCTTATTCACAATGATTTGTTTCTTTTCCTGCCTGTTCCTGCCAGTCTCCTTTCTGAGCTTGGGCCAGTATTTCTCTGACTTTGTTACTAAAGACTTTTGTGTAACATGTCAGGTTGGCACCAAATGTTTAAAAGCAGGGTTGTCATATTCCCTAGTTATTTAATTTGTTGTGAATTTACAACCAAAGAGCCTGACCATCAGAATTAAAATTGTGAACAGTATCATGAAGACCTTGACAGCTCTAGTCCATCTTCTTTCAGGAGAATTGTCACCTTGGAGAATAAGTATAGCTCTGGGTTGTTGCTTTGCTGTTAGGGTACTGAAATAGATATCTATTGTATATTCAGGAAAAAAAAATATATTCAGCCATAAAAAGTAAGGAAGTATTGATAAATACTACAACATAAGCCCTAAAAACATTATCTTTTTAGGTATGTTGGGTTATGCCTGTAATCCCAGCACTGAGGAAGCTAAGGCAGGAGGATTGCAAATTAAAGGTCAACCTGGACTATACAGTCAAAAAAAAAGTGAATTATACCAAGTGAAGTAGTCAGCTGTAAAAAGCCATATATCATATGATTCCATTTACATGAAATGTTCAAAATAGAGAAATCTGCCTGGGAATCAGAGTACTGCTGAATAGGTTGAGGTTCTGTTTCAGGTAATAGAAGTGTTCTTGAATTAGATAGTAAGGACAGCTGGCCAATATTGTGAATGTGCTGGAAAGCACAAGAATGCATACTTAATAACAATTAAAATAGTGAATTTTATGTTAATTTTATCTTGGTTTAAGGAACTGGCCTGTCAACAGTGCTGTCAGGCCTTTCCTCTGCGCTAGCAGGAAGCAGTCTCCAGAGTTCTCTCTTCAGTACAGCCAAGCTGACAATTTGGTTACTTTTGCACCTGACTGAGTTATTTTGTCAGTTCCTCCAGCAGTGTTTACTGACTAAAGAGGAGTCCTGTGCTCCTAGTCCTTATTCTACTCTTACTAATCCTCTGCTTTCTGCATTCTTTAGGATATAGTTCCCAGATTAATTTAAGCCCGTGACTTCTACCATTGCCCCCCATATATCTGAACTTAAGGTCCTAGTACCCTTTTTCTTCTGGGCCTGCTGCCTTTCAGTTGGCCTATACCTGCTTTACTCCTGTTTGAACTTGTCCTATATTTGTGTGGCCCTGGGGTGGGACAGGAAATGGGGAAAATGGAGTACAAGTTTCTGACTTAACTGACTAGCTTCTTATCTTTCATGTTAATTAATGGGGCGATAAAATTTTTTTTTTCTACAAGAAACTTGGTCAGGCTGGAGGTCAAGTTCAGTGGTAGAGCACTTACCTAACATGCATGAAGCCCTGGGTTCATTGCCAGCACTGCCAAAAAAAAGAAAAGAAAACAAACTTGCTGAGGTTGCTTCTGCACATATTGAACCCAGAAACCAACAACAAACTGGCTGATGTCTAGTGCATCAGGGGATTGATTGTCTTCAGGAAGTATGGGGACATTTTCATCAAAGAAAGCATTCCATGTGATCAGATGGCAAGCTAGTTTTTAGGCGAATTTTAAACAAGTTATTTAACTAAGAACAACATATTTGTGACTAGGAAGTAGGATAAAATATTCTCAATATTTTTCCCTGTGGTGGTAGAACTTGAGAGGCCAGCAGGCAGGTCACAGCCCCTCTGTGGGATTGTTCCATGGTTAGGTACTTTGGGGCAGAATTCAGCTTTTCATGAAGCCCAGTACCTGAAATGCACATCCAGACTCTCGCAGTACAGTATTCCCAAACAGAAGTGGAACATGGCTTCTGATAGTAGGTGGGAGTCAGCTCAGACCAGCACTGGAAACAACTGGCAAAATCTAGAATAGTAGAGTGAAGGCCATTCTTTAGCACAGTGAGGCACATGCCCTTTGTTCTGCTAGTTGTCAGAATAGATGTCTTTTCAAAGGAAATCTGAATTTAGAAAAAATTTAAAACTGTTTTCTTATGTACAGTAATGTGTTATGTGGCATTACTTCTAATATTGAAAATTGGAAACAATCAAAATGACCCAGGTTGGAAAATAAGAGAAGAAAACATTACTGAAAGTAGAGATAGATGAATACTGTCTTAATATGACAAAATAGGTATATGTCAAATGAAAAGCCATTGTCTTAGTGATAAAATACTAGACACATCTGATTTAGAGCCAAGAGCAAGATAAAAATTACCACACTGTTGTTATATATCATTGTTAAATTAACTAATGGAAACAAAGAAAATTAAGAAGGGAAGTGGCCAATTTACAGATATTGTCAATATGATTGTATCTACTTAAGGAGTTGATTGAAAGTTACACAAGATAAAAATTAATATACAGAAATCAATATATAAGCAGTAGATATAATTTCAGTTGGAAATTACAATGGAAAAAATGTTTTACAAAGAAAAGAAGGAAGATAGCAAGGAACAAAGATTTTTGCATAGTATAAGATCTCTATGAAAAACACTTCACAGTGCTGAAAGATTTAAAAGACCTGAATAAATGAATGATACAACCTGTTCATGGATACACATGTATATCTATATCTTCTTACTGAAAAAAAAATGTATAAACTAATATTGATACTAGCGAAACTACTAGTGTAATTTTTAATCAATCAAGCTAAGCATAAAGTCAGTATACAAAAGTTAAGATGCAAACAAGCCACAAAAATTCTAAAAAAAAAATATTATTAATGAAAGAAGGATTACTGCCAGGTGTGATAGTGCACACCTGTAATCCCAGTAACCAGGCCTCAGAGGCAGGACAATTGCCAGTGAGAAGCCAGCCTATACTACATAGCAAGACCCTGTCTCATAAAACATAGTAAGACAAAAAAGGTTAGCCTTGGTGAGTAGTAAAGGGTATTATAGAAGCATAGCAATTGCAGTAGTTTTGTATTGGTAGAATAATTACAGGGCCAGAAACATTCAAAGATTTAGTATGTATTCAAAATAGAACTTAAAATTAGCAGGGAAAAAATAGTTGATTCATTGTTGCTGGGATAATAGGGCTGCCAGCTGAAAAAACATAAAGTTGGCTCCCTACCTTAGTTCCTTATACCAAATAAACTCCAGGTGGATCAAAAATTTATACACAAAACAAGTGGAAGTGTAGAGGCAGATGTAGTGAAGCAAACCTGTAATTCCAGCACTCAGGAGCCCGAAGCAGGAAGATAATAAAGCTTACCCCAAAATTTGAAAATGGGAGGAGACGATAGAGATGTGTGTATATACAGAAAGTGTTTCTGGAAGAATATGGAAAAAATGTTTAACGTTAGCTGCAAGTGGAGAAGGACATCAGGGATAGAGATTAAAAAAGTCTTTTCATTATGGTATTTTTTGTTTTACATAGATTTCCTATTGAAGAAGGGTAAGGCTTTTTTTGGTTTTCTTTCTGTTTTTTGGTGGAACTGAGGTTTGAACTCAGGGCCTTGTACTAGCAAAGCAGATGTTCTACCACTTGAGCAACAATTCCATTCCATTTCACTCTGCTTATTTTGGAGATGGAGTCTCACAAACTATTTGCTTGGTCTGGCCTCAAATCACAATCCCTCCCGATCTCAGTCTCTCAAGTAGCTGGGATTACAGACATGAACCACTGGTGCGTGGCTGGATTTTTTTAGTTTTTTTTTTTGTTGTTTCTTGGTGGTACTGGGTTTGGAACTCAAGGTCTTGTATTTGCTAGGGATCTACCATTGAGCCATGCCCCCAACCCCAAGGTAGGGAATTTTTAATGAAAATTCTATAATGGTATAGGAAGCATTTATATTAAATTGTAGATAGTAGCAGAGTACAGACATGTGGGAGTAATGAATATATAGATGTATGTATATATATCTTTAACATGTTTTAAAAAAAGAAGTGCAAAAATAGATTTAACAGATTTTTTTTCAATGATGAACCTATGAATTTCTTCTCTACTTTTTTGTATTTTCCAAGATTTTTGTAATGAGTTTATAATATTTTTGATAGACAAAAGTATAACTAACACTTCATTAAATGTTTGATTCCATTCTTTTTGTTTGTATATTCTGCAGTACTGGGGTTCAGCTCAGGGCTTCATGTTTGTTAGACAGGTATTCTACCATTTGAGCCATTCCACCATCCCCTTGATACCATTCTTTAAACTATGTGGAATTGTTCTCTGCCACCATCCTTTTCTTGCTCCAAGCCCCACAAAAAGTAGAAAATTCTTCCCCTACTCATCCCTTTCCACTAAAAAAAAGTATATAAGAAAGAAGAGAATTTAAGTATGTCAGTACAGCCGCAGTCACATAACTCCAATAGGAGCAGGCACTGTTATGCTGAGGGAAAAACCTAGAAAGGGGAAAAAATATGCTTACCCCACCTTCTGTGGTCTTTCTTTTCTAGTGGTCTCGGCTATAGTGTGGTCTTGTTTCTGTAATAAAAGTGTCTGTGACTCAGTCAATATCCTACAGTCTTCTTTCTGCTCCTTTTTAAAGAATATCTGCACAGAGACTTGCCCACCTGAATAAGTGCTTGATGAACTTTAAGCTAGGAAATTTCAGCTATCAAAAAAACCCTCTGAAATTGGGAGAGCTTCAAGGAAATCACTTCACTGTTGTTCTCAGGTAAAGGGCAGTAGATGAGAGTGCACACCAGGGAGTGGCTTGCCAGGTCACTTTGAGGTTGTTCATTGCAGTTGTTACAAAGGTGCAAGTTACCTGGTACTGGTGTAAGTGGAGTGGCAGTGACAGGAGGCAGAGAAATGCTGGGGAGACTGGGAAAGCAAAGACGTATATAGCATTGTACCGACAAATAGTCCTCACCCCCTAAAAGTTAGCACAGCCTTCACAAAAACACCATCTTCTTCAAATACTGTATTAAAAGAAAAGAGCCTATATCTCTTTTATACGAAGCACCTAGAATAGACAAATTTATAGAAAGCAGAATAGAGGTTATTGGGGCAGGGAGGAGTGGAAAGCTATTCTTTAATGTGTATAAGAATTTTAGTTTGGGAAGATGGAAAAGTTTGGAAGTAGATGTTGATGAAAGATGTATAATATTGTGAATGTGAATATACTTAATGACATTATGTTATATGTTAAAAATGACTAAAATGGTAAATTTACTGTTATAAATATATTATCACAGTTAGCAAACAGCCCTAGGAGGTAGAAAGCTGCAAAGAGAGATGTAGAAGCCAAGCCATAGTCACTGTGTACATCCCCACATGTTTTTGGCTGTAAATTCTTTTCTCTGGATAATTTGGGCAGAAACATAACTGGAACTGACGGCCAAGTACAGCAAGCTATGAACTCCCTCAAGGATATTGGATTTATTAACTACTATGGAATGCAAAGATTTGGAACTACAGCCGTCCCTACATACCAAGTTGGAAGGTTTGTATTTGCTTTCACAACTTATTTCTAAAAGAGGTCTCACAAAAAAGAAAATAAGTTTTTATTGATGGTGTTTTAATTATATCTAGATTTCATGTCAGGGGCAAATGAACCACCAATCCACAGCCTCCTTTTAATTTTTGTTCTATTTTAAGACAGTGAGTTGCGTAAGATAAAAAAGTTCAAAAAGTTATGACTTGAAAAGAAAGCTTTTCTTATATTCTAAACAGCCCCTTCAGAGATTCTGGTAGTTTTTTATTTTATTTTGGTTTTTTGGTGGAATTGGAGTTTGAACTCAGAGCTTCACTCTAAGCCAGGTACCAGTGGCTCACACCTGTAATCCTAGCTGTTCAGGTAGCAAAGATCAGGGGATTAAAGTTTGAAGCCAGCCTAGGCGTATTGTTTGAAAGACCCTATCTCAGAAATACCCAACACCAAAGAGGACTGAGTTCGAGCCCCAGAACCACCAAAAGAAAAAAAAGTAAAGAATAGTAAAAGATTGTTTTTATCCTGTTTGCCTGAGATGAAAAGGTATATAACATATAGGGAAAATTTTTTTGAGAAACAAGTTTTGGCATATATTAAAACATATCTGATTATATAGATATGCCATGGCAAGGTAGTATTTCTAGTATTTTTAAACTGTAAAATGATATTAAATGTTATTCTAAGCATCATATCCTAAGTTTTATTCCCTTTTTCTGAAGTTCTTCTGGTATTTACATTTGAAATCTGTGTTATAATTTTTCTGCTTACTTGTAAGTTTAATAAAACATAAACATTGTAATTTGTTGACTTCAAAGATTTGAACATATAAAGTTCCCTTAATGAAAAATAAAATAAAATAAATATGGTTTAATTTCAGAGCTATTCTACAAAATTCCTGGACAGAAGTCATGGATTTAATACTGAAACCCCGTTCTGGAGGTAAGAATAAAATTTATGTTAAGAAAATAGATAAAGGGTTGGCAGCATGACTAAAGTGTAGAGCACTTGCCCTGAGTTCAAATCACCACAAAAAAAAGAAAATAGTTAGATATTTGTGGAATCATTTTGAATAAGAGCATTTGTACAGATGGGGGTAGTTACTTTATAATTTTCCTCGTTTTTACATTAAAATTAAAAGTAGTTTATTTATTAAGGCTTTTCACAAGTTTTATGTGTAAATTTGAGATTTTTAATTTATATTTTGTACTTAGTTCTTTAGTTCACCTAATTTGTTAATTTAAAAATGTATAAATACATTTAAGAAGTGAATTCATTTCATTTACTAAGTTTTTGAATATATAAGAATACTATAGGTGGTTATTTTGTTAAAGAGTATAGTTTATATTTAGTAAAATATAAAATCTTGACAGAACATCTTGAGGATTTTTAAAGAGTTTGCCAAAAATTTTTTTTTTTTTTTTTAACGTTACTGGGGTTTGAACTTGGCCTGCACTTTGAACCAGTCTTACCAGCCCTTTCTTTGTGATGGGTTTTTTTCAAGATAGAGCCTTGCGAACTATTTGCCCAGGCTGGCTTCAAACTGCTATGCTCCTGGTCTCTGTCTCTTGAGTAGCTAGGATTACAGGCCTGAGCCACCAGCATCCAGCTGAGTTCACTAAAATTTTCCCAGAAAGTATCATATTGTGTAAAAGAAATTTAACTACTACTTTATAAATTGTTAAAATAATAATACTTAGGGTAATTATTCACTTGCACACTAAAAAATGATAAAATTACTTAATATTAAGGAAAGTAACCCATTAAAACTTGACAATTCAATGGGAAAAGGAAAAGAAGAAGCTGCTATCAAGTTTTTGTCTTATGTTGAATTAGCTATGATGATAATGAACAGCAAATAGCTTTTCCTCTTGGCACGGGGGCAGTAGCATGTTGACAAAGTCACATAGTTCTGTAAACTTTTCTATGGTTCCCATCTTTTTGCTTTCTGGTGGCCATTTGCAGGTGAACAGAAGTTCTTTATAGCACCATCATTACAAATAAATAACATTTCCTAATTCATGTTCCCTGTGAAGCATGTTAAGTTATGAAACTTTGTGTATTGGATAAATGATTTAATCCAAGCTTTTTTTCTCCCCAGCCGAAAAGGGGTACTTGGTTAAATGCAGGGAAGAATGGGCGAAGACCAAAGACCCAGCTGCTGCCCTCAGAAAACTACCTGTCAAAAGGTGTGTGGAAGGGCAGCTGCTTCGTGGACTTTCAAAATATGGAATGAAGAATATAGTCTCTGCATTTGGCATAGTGAGTGTGATTTGTGAAGTCAGGCAATTGCTCACGGTTTAATGCTTTTTAAACTTTGTCTTGAAAGAGTTTACTAAATTTCAAAAGAGCAGAAGGTGATCTAGAGGTTTCATATGAATGATCTGTATTTAGATCCTGAATGACAGTGAGCAGATAGCTGCAAACAATGTTGGCCCTAATTAATGTTAAGGGCACAAGAAGTCCTGTGGAAACTGTGGTTGCCAATAGTAAGTGGGTGTTTAAGAAATTCAGGATCCATTACAGTCATTGTTGGATCATCATCATCATCAGAACTTTAATCTGCTTAAGAAACAGTTGGACAGTAAGCAGCCTAAGTAGCTGCATATTAGTCTGGTTTCATCAAGGTGGCTCAAGAGTGGGTGCCATATTGGCCAGTGTAGCCTATATCACTATTATGTATAATCCAATGCATGTTAAAGTTTAACTCTTAAATTTAAGTCTTTGTTACTTCCTTAGGTGTGCACAAAAAAGCAGAATTCTTGCTGCATGAAATAAGGTGTCACTCAATTATTTTAGAAATATGAAGGAGAAAACACTGTTGGCTCTGTAATTGCTTTGTGAATCCTTGAATTCAAGTCTGTTTCTTTGATTTAGGGCATAAATTCTATAGTATGTACTTTATTTATATGGCTACATGTATCATGGATATAAAATGGGAACTGTTGGTACTGATGAGTGTTCATGCCCTTTATTTTGAGTTCTTCTGTTTAATATTTAATACTTGTCACTGTATAGGTTATTATACAATGAAACTTAAAGCATGCGTTTCACCACTAAACAAGCAAGATGTCTTGGAAAGCATAGACTTAATTTAAAATTCAGAATTCTTTTTTTCTTGCCTGTTTTTTTCTTTCCCTCCAGATACCAAGAAATAATCGCTTAATGTATATTCATAGCTATCAAAGCTATGTGTGGAATAACATGGTGAGCAAGAGGATAGAAGACTATGGGCTACAACCTGTTCCAGGGGACCTTGTTCTCAAAGGAGGTAAAATACCACATTTCATTGTTGATCAAGCAACCTAGGATTCACGTTTTTAATACCAGTGGTTATAAAATGTAGAGTGGCTACTAGTGAAGAAAGAGAGATTCCTAGAAAGTTTGAGATGGAAAGGCCACTTAAACTGACTGGCTAGTTTGTGTCAGTATCTTTAACAAAAAAATAAAATATACATCTAGTTTGATAATATCAAACCCAGAACTGACTCTTGGCTTCCATTTTCTCAATTAGTAATAAAATAGGATTTGGACCAATGATGTCTAAAATCCCTTCCCAAATTTTATTCTGGGTCTAGCAAACTCAAATACCTCTGGATATGTCTCAACCTTCAGCTTGTTATCGGCCAGTTTTAGTTTCCTCAGAAATGAGGAATGGAGCTAACTTTACAAGTGAGCCATGACAGAGTGAGCATTTAGTGAATGCTGAGCCTCAGACGTTCCTAAGACAGTGTTAACATCTCATCTGCTGTAGAGCCCTTACTGCGTGTCAGGTCTTACACTAAGCCCTTCACACGAATCTTCTATTTTAAAGCTCATAGTACTACACGGAAGCATTCTGTTTTTCATGAGGTTTAGTCACTTACCCAAGATTCCACAACTAGCTAAAAAAAAATTAAAATCCTAGTTATTTGAGAGGCAGAGATCAAAAGGATCAAGGTTCAAAGCTAGCCCAGACAGAAAGTTAGTGAGATTGTATCTCAAGCCAGGCATGGTGATGTGCACCTGTGGCCACAGCTATGTGAGGTAGATTGCTGTCCAGGCCACCCCCTAGAGAAAAATGTGCGAGCCTCTCTAAAAAGTAACCTATAAGCAAAAAGGGCTAGAGGTGTGGCTCAAGTGGCAGAGTGCCTGCCTAGTGGAAAGAAGGAAAGGAAGGAGGGAGGAAGGGAGGGAAAGCAAGGAAGAGAGATAAAGGGAAGGAGGAAGAGAAGGGAATCTGAAAATCAGAGTTAAGTCTGTCTGATTCCAAGGTCCATGTTCCCAGATAAGTTAGCATCTGCTGTCATCCACTAGCTAAATACACAGCCTGCATTTGTTCATTCAGAAATTTAATTTTTTTCCTGATTTTACATCTTTTTCTTCATATAATATTGGTCACATCCAGTATATTTTGATGTCCCATGTACCTTTAAATACAGGCTGGTTTTAAATTGTTTATTCTTTTGACAGAATGTATACATTTATACTGGGTTTCCAGAAAGTCTTGTGGTGTTGCCTGAGAAAGATAATGGAAATGATTTTTTAAAGTAGGATTCTCAGAAAATGATACAACTAAGAAGTGTTTTAAAATATGCATTAAGAATTTTACTATGTTGAAACTATCCCAGGAATGGGGGGTTGGATAAAGGAGAATGATGAAGGGAGAGAATTCAACTATGATATATTGTAAGAACTTTTATAAATGTCACAATGTACTTCCGGTACAACAATTAAAACAACAAAAACATTCTATTAGAAGCTGGGCGCCAGTGGCTCATGCCTGTAACACTGGCTTACTCAGGAAGCAAGATCAAGAGGATGGCAATTTGAAGCCAGCCTGGCCAGTGTAGTTCATGAGACCCTGTATCTCAAAAATACCCAGTACAACAATAATATGATAATGACTGAATGTATGAAAATACTCAACACAAAAAGGGCTGGTGGAGTGGCTCAGAACTTCAGCATGAAGCCCTGAATTCAAACCCCAGTACCACCAAAAAAAAGAATTCTACTAGCCTGTCGCTGGTATCTCATGCCTGTAATCCTAGCTACACAGGAGGCAGAGATCTAGAGGATCGAAGTTAGAAGCCAACCCAGGCAGAGAGTTCGTGAAACCCTATCTCAAAAAAACCCATCACAGCAAAAAGACTGGCAAAGTGGCTCAGAGTGCAGGCCCTGAGTTCAAGCCCCTACCACACACACAAAAATTCTACTAGATTCTTAACTTTTGTTTCTTGTGGTGTAGAAAAGACAAAAGGGTGTGTTTCTCAACTTAATTTCTTTAAGCTTTCTAAGCCACAGAACTGGGACAACTTACACTTCTGACTTGGCCTAAATGAAGTTTGATTCATGAAACTATTGCCTTTCTTCTTAACTTCCTGTTTACTTCTGGGTTTTCAGCCACAGCCACCTATATTGAGGAAGAAGATGTTAATAATTACTCCATTCATGATGTAGTAATGCCTTTGCCTGGTTTCGATGTTATCTACCCAAAGCATAAAAGTAAGTTTCCTGTATGGGCAAAATAGTTAAAATAGGTCTGGCATAATTAACCTGCCAAGAGTGAAGAGAATAAAAAATCAGTACTTTAAGTATGTTAAAACTTTATTTCCATCAAACTTAAAGAGATATTTAGATTTTCAACATATATAGGCCACAGTTATTCATCAAAGTTTCTCAGAAAAAGATGCATTCAGATGAATAATTTAATTTAAGAAACTATCAGAGAGCAGTGGGCTGCCTGTAGAACCCAGTTAGTTGGGAGGCTGAAGCTGGAGGATTGCTTGAGCCTACCAAATTGGAGACCAGCTTTGGCAATGTAGTGAGAACCTGTTTTAAAAAGAAATTACAGAGCCGGCACTGGTGGCTCATGCCTGAAATCCTAGCTACTCAGGAGGCAGAGATCAGGAGGATTGAGGTTCGAAGCCAGTCTGAGCAAATAGTTTTTGAGACCCTATCTCAAAAAATCATCACAATATAGAACCGGTGGAGTGGCTCAAGTGGTGAGGACCTGCCTAGCAAGCGTGAGACCCTAAGTTTAAACCCCAGTACCACAAAAAAAAAAAGAAATCATAGAATAGAAAACAAAAAAGAAACTAGATGGTGGTGATAGTAGTGGTACTAATAGTTGTATTATCATTGTTATTTTCATTATTTCAGTTTCTGAAATTCACCAATTCTTACTAAGGATGGGAAGAGTTTGAAAAAAAAATATTGAGAAAGTGAATGGATAATTCTACTTAACATTGCTTTTTTTAAAAACCCATATAACTAATGTGTGGTTATGGTGTTTAGTAAGTAACGAGTACAATTTATGTAGTGAACGTTGGAATTCTCTACCTTTATTTCCTATTTTCTTGGAGCTGCTAAAAATTACTTCTGGCCAGGCATGGTGCTATATATCTATAATTCCCACTCTACAGGAGGCATAGGGAGGAGAATCTCAGTTCCAGGCAAAAAGCAGGAGACTCTTTAAAAAAAATAGCTAAAGCAAAAAAGGTCTAGAGGCATGGCTCAAGAGGTAGAACACCTGCCTAGCAAGTGGGATGCCATGAGTTCAAACCCCACTACTGCACGTACACACACAAAAATCTGTTACCTTCATGAATAACATTGTAGGACAGGGCTTGGAGCTTTTATTGTTCAGAAATTCAGAGATTGGAAAAAAAGGCAGCTCTGCCTGGGTGTGGATTAAGTGGTAGAGTGTTTACCTGGCAAGCTCAAGGCCCTGAGTTCAAACCCTAGTACTGCCCAAACAACAAACAGCACTGATCATGGGGCCAGTTTAGTGGGACTGACCCTGGAAGTTATTGCTAGCCAGGACTGGTCTGTGGATGGTGTTTTCTTTTGAGATAGCTCGTTTACTTTTCAATGTTACATCCTAGAAGTTTTGTTAATTAGAATTAGAGCCCTTCTTGGATGATCCAAATTTACCTCTTGGAAAAGTTTAATAGAAACCTGTCATTTTTTGTTGACTAATTCAACCAAATTTCTATACTTCTAATTCTTACACTGGCTGACTTGACTGGGGGAAAGGAGTAGAATGGAGGAGATGAGAATGCATAAAGTATGCAGGGAGTGGTGCATTCTGTCTTCCCTCAACCTGGAGCCTAGTAGAGCAGCACCAGAAACTAGTGGGAAGGAAGGCACTTAAGATAAAAGCTTCAGTTTACCTGGGCGACAGAGGCTCACACCTGTAGTTCTAGCTACTTGAGAAGCTGAAATCAGGACAATCGTGGTTTGAGGGAAGCCAAGGCAAAAAGTTTGCGAGACCCTATCTCAACCAGTAATTGGAAACAGTAGCATACACCTCTTACCCAGCTACACAGAAGTCTAAGATTGGGAGGATCCTGGTTCCAATGACCTGGGCAGAAAAAATTTTGTGAGACCTCCATCTCAACAGAAGAAGTCTGGGTATGGTGGCATGTGCCTGTCAAGATTGCCAACCAAGCCAGCCTGGGCAAAAAGGAGACCTTATCTCCAAAATAACCAGAGCACTACTCAGGAGGCAGAGATCAGGAGGATCGCGGTTCAAAGCCAGCCCCATACAAATAGTTCACCAGACCCTGTTTCGAAAATACCCAGCACAAAAAAGGACTCACAGAATGGTTCAAGTGATAAGAGTGCCTGCTTAGCAAGATTGAGACCCTGAGTTCAAACCTCAGTACCTCCAAAAAAAAAAAAAGGGGGGGAGCAAAAAGGGTTAGGGTATGTGGCTCAAATGGTAGAGTGCCTGCCTAGCAAAGCCCTCAGTTACCGCCCTCCCGCCGAAAACACACACACACACACTCTCTCTCTCTCCCTCTCTCTCTCTTCCCATGTGTTGGGTTCTCCACAGAGATAGAACCGTAATATGTAGGGAATCAGCTCACTTGATTATGGATACTGAGAAGCACCACAACAGGCTATCTGAAAGGTGGAGAACCAGCAGAGGCAGTATCATGGCTCAGTCCACATCCAAAGGCTTGAGAACAAGGGAAGCCAGGATGTAACTCCCAAGAAGGCTGAAGTGCCAAGAACCTGCAGGGATGCTGGGGCAAGTCCTGGAGTCCATTGCTGGAGAACCTGGAGTTCTCACCTCCAAGGACAGGAGAAAAGGGGTGACCCAGCTCTGGGAGAGAGAGGAAGATACTTTGCACTTTCACCTTTTTGTCCCACCCAGGGCATGCCCACATTGAGGGTTCATCTTCCCCACTGAGTCCTTTGACTCGTTGTCCAGTGTCCTCTAGAAATATCCTCACTGACACACCTGAGGCAGCCTAGTCTCATCAAAAGCAAAATCACCTGGATTTTTCGTTCAGCAGAAGAGGGACAGGCTCGATGCTCCTGAAATATTGAGAACAAATAATTCTACTGAGTATAAATAATATTACCTGCTGGGTATCCCTTGTTGACAGCCCAAGTCAACATAAGAAAGGAAAAAAATTCTTTCTTACTTCTGTGAGGATGAAGTTGCCTAGTACAAGTTAGAAACATAAATTCAACAAAACCTTTCACAAAGCCAATGGTGAAACTTTATAGCTAAGATGGACGGTCATAGTTCATCATTTGGACACATAACATACCCACACTTAGGATCCAACAGTGCTTAATTTAGGGAACCCTGTTGTCCTTACTGTGTTTGGGGAGCGTGTCTTTCCTTTTCCTTCTACCCAATTTTTTTTTCTTTTTTTCTTTTTTTTTTTTTTGTGGCAGTATTGGGATTTGAACTCATGGCCTTATTCTTGCTAAGTATGATAGGCAGGCACTCTACCACTTGAGCTACAGTTCCAGTCATTTCTCACTTAGTTATTTTTTTGAATAGGATCTCATTTATGCTCAGACCTGTCTAGATCATGATCCTGCTGTTTGTCTGCTGGTGTAGCTGGAATGACCACTACTCCCGGCTTTTATAAGTTGAGATGGGATCTCAAACACTTTTTGCCCAGGCTGGCTTTGAACCCTGATCCTCCCAATCTCTGCCTTCTGAGTAGCTAGGCATGACCCATAGTGCCCAGCTACTCAACACTTTAATGAATAACTTGCATAAAGAAATCTGAGAAAGAAAAGAAAAGAAATCTGTTGGTCACATTTGTAAATCATGCAAGACAAAGTAATTTATATGAAAAATAAGTAAAGATTGCAAAAGGAATTTAATAGGGTTAAATATAAGTTTACCTATGTGCCCAGTGATCTCATGTACATGTGGAGCAGGACATAATAGCACATGCCCCACAATCCCAGCACTTGGGAGAGTTTAAGTCCATCCTGGGCAACATAGTAAGACCATATCTCCTAAGAGGAAACAGTGCAGATGGAAAGGGCAAAGTTTGATAGTCTATTTAAAAAGTTAAAAATATTTGGAGTTATTATTGAAGCCTGTTACACTGGGGCAGATAAAGGGTTTGGTGGAAAATATAGAAATGTCAGAAGAGGGTCAGTTGAGAGATCCAAAGTATAGTGAAGATATGCTTTAAGGTCCAGTACTTACAAATACACCTGGAGGACAGATAATTACTGTATTCTAAAGCAGTCAACAGAAGTTATAAGAAAATGGACTTCTACTTAAAATGGGGACACGCTTTGTGTGTCTCCTAAAGTTGTTCCTCATAAATGACAACATGTAAATGAACATTGGAAAACTATCTCTCTGTAGTATTAAAAAAAGATTCTACATGGTCCTCCATGGTTCTCTTACTTTTATACATTTATTTATAACTGCTTCTTCCAGAAAGCACTGGAAGCCTCTGTATATGATCTCTTCTGATTCTAAAGCCAGATAAATTATAGTTTAGCACCTTTGAGTAAAATGGCCTTTTATAGTTAGCCTGAGAACTTTACATACATGGCTGGTAAGTTGCCCAAACCAAAGCCGAAGACAACTTCTAGGCCTACTAGTTAATTACTAAGTCACTAAATTTTGATTCCCAAGAACAGACTTTGTGTTATACATTAGGATAACTAATTTTGGTAGGGTGATCTAACAGAATTTACATGTTATATTATTTCTACTTTAGTTCAAGTAACTTGCTGGCAGGCTGCATTCCAACTAATTTTTTATATTTTATATTAGTTAGTGAAGCCTACAGGGAAATGCTCACAGCAGACAACCTTGATATTGACAACATGAGACACAAAATTCGAGATTATTCTTTATCAGGGGCCTACCGAAAGATCATTATTCGTCCTCAGAATGTCAGCTGGTGAGTAATATTCTGGAATGAAATATAATTGAATTGCTATATAAAGTTTTAAGTTTTCTTCACATAGGTATTTTTTTAGTGTTTAAAACCTAGCATATTAATGTTTTGTAAATGTTATTATTCTTACTACTGTTGTCACTACTGCTACCAGTTTGTATTTTTCAAATCATCAAGCAATAAATGAAGCTGTGTTGAATGAAATCATATAATGAAAGGGAATTCATTTATGTTTTGTTAGCATTGAAGAAATGTGTAGAGAATGAACTTTTTCCTGTTTTTCCCTATTTCCTTGAGATTTGCTTATGAAATTATCCCTGAGCAAATTACTCAGAATTGGCTATGAATTCCAAATACTGGTCTAGAGAAGAGGATACTTGTATTCATTCATTTTAAAATATTTTAATAGATGTTACCTATATCTTTATGGATCATTTTAAAATGAAATCCTGAACTAGTTACCCATTACCAGGAAATTCTCTTTTTTTCCCTCTCATCTGCCTTTTCTTGTGTCCTCTTATATAAGGTTGTGGACAAAGTTGGACTTTATCTTCCACATTCCAGAGAGCAGTTTCTCACTCACAACAAGGTATAAATGGTGGTGGAAACCACTCTGGAAAAAATGTAAATGCCATGATTAATTCAGTCCACATCTGTACAAAGTGAAGGTTACTATTTACCAACTTCACATAAAAAGAATTTCCAGGCCTGGGCCAGTGCTCAGGTGGTAGTAGACTGTCTATCCAGCAAAGCCCAGTACCATTAAAAAAAAAGAATTTCCATCCTAGGGAAATACTTCCAAAGGCTGACATCATCTGTCATCTTATTGTACAATTATATATTATATGATTATACATAAAATCTGGCCCTGTTCTATTATTGAGCAGTCCTATCTATAATTATTTACAATAGACCTATGTGCTTTTCTTATTAAACAAATGGTGATAAGCAACTTTGTGCCATGTATAAAAGTTCACATTCATACTTATCTTTATTTATGTGTTCTGAAGGGAAGTCGTTGCATATGATGATCCTAAAATTCCACTTTTCAACACAGATGTGGACAACCTAGAAGGGAAACCACCACCAGTTTTTGCTTCTGGTAAGTTCACTCAGTCTTTAGCTTTTGGTCAATTTTGAAATGTTTTCTCACATAAAAATAGAAAGTTTTGCTGGGCATGGTTTTTCACATTTTTAATCTCTACTGCCTGAGAGGCAGAGACAGGAAAACCTCAAGTTCAAGGCCAGCCCAGACAAATTTAGCCAGGCCCTGTCTCCAAAAACAAAAGTTTGGGACTACAGCTTAAGTGGTCTTGTGTTCAATACCAAGGACAAAAACTTGCTGTTTTAATCATTATTACCACTACCCACCCACTCTATGATTTTTGCTTTGTGTTTTATAGTTTCATGACTATAGCTAGAGATGAGTGACTAAAGCATCAATCTCACTGAAAATGAAAAGATGTAATAGATGGTGGTGATACGAGATAATTGAGTGTTTTCTCCCTATTCCCCACAGAGGTGTAACAAAGGTGAATGAAAATCCAGGAAGATTATGTAAAGAGTTAAGTTTGCATTCTCATTATCAAGTTCTTTTTTGTGTGAGGGGGTACTAGGACCTTACCCTTGTATGCTATCATTTAAGCCCCCACCTGCTCTTTTTATGAAAGATCCTGGTAGAATAGTAAGTCAGCTAGCTCATACACCTTTTCCCTCCACAGTCTCTTTCTCTGAGACCCAGGGAGTGAAAGTCTGAGGAAAGGAGCATACAGAGATTGACTGACTTTCTCCAGGGCGTCTGCAGCCACCCTCATTTTCTGACCATTCTCTTCTTTCTTGCTTGACAGAAGGCAAATACAGGGCTCTGAAAATGGATTTTTCTCTTCCTCCTTCTACATATGCTACCATGGCCATTCGAGAAGTGCTAAAAATGGATACCAGTATCAAGAACCAGACCCAGCTGAATACAACTTGGCTCCGCTAAGTAGTACCTTATCCACATACCAGAAAATGCAGACAAGTGTTTGCTACCCAGCCTCCTGTTCATTTTTCTCTTTGGTCAGACCCATATATGGATTTTCAATCTTTGTAGTAAAAGATTATTTGTATTTTTTAAAGTTTTTATTAGCTTAAAGAAATAATTTGCAATATTTGTACACATACACAAATACTTAATATCCTGATTTTAGCTCGGAGGATGTAAATTGGTCAAAATATACTTTAGGTGCTTAAATCATAGTATAATATCAGCTTTACTGGCTTTATATAATAAAGACTTTGGTTTAAAGTAGAAGTTTTAGGTTTGCTACATATCTGAAACACAACAGGAATTTTTAACACATTCATGAATGAAGCACATGACAGTGGGTTTTAAGAGCAAATGCAACAAAACAAGTCTTGACTATGGATGAACAATTTGAGAGTCCCTACTTATAATGCAGTGCTCATACTGGCTTAAATGATAATACAACCTCTATAGGCTATAAACACAAAAGTGATTGTCATTATGCAGCTCTTGTACCTGATTCAGGTAAGCATTTGTATACTGTTTAAGTTTGCGATGGGTTTGAATTTATATTATCAACTCTTTAAGGAGAGTTGTATTAATAGGGCCTTTTTTCTTGTAAATATGTGTAGTTGTTTTTTATTGGCTAAGGTCTAATTTTACTCTAGGTGCCTTTTATGTTCAGAACTCTTTCCACTGAACTGGTGTTTGCTTAAAAATAAATAATGGCAAAGAAGAAAACTAAAAATTTATGAGGGCTCCTTCTATCAGCAACATTTAACCTTCGGCACCAACTACTTACTCCATTTCTAGCACTGCATAACAGTTTTCTCTGGTATGAATGGTTAGATTAGCCTTTCCAAAGTTGTGTACATAATTGTACCAGTTTTTGTTTCCTATCATTTCTAGATTCAAATGTAATAAATATTTTTTTAAAAACTCCTTTCTACTGATTATGTAAATAAGTCAAATACCTAAAACTGGGTGCAAGTGATAATTTTGTCCCTGACTAAAGAAAGGCAAGGGCATTGGTGGCTCCTGCCTATAATCTTAGCTACTTGGGAGGCTGAGACTGGGAAGATCACAGTTCAAGGCCAGCCCAGGCAAATAGTTCTAGAGACCCCCATCTCCAAAATAACTAGAGCAAAATGGACTGGAAGTGTGGCTCAAGCATTAGAGTGCCTGCTTTTCAAGTGTGCAGCTCTGAGATCAAACCCAGATTCCACCAAAAAGAAAGAAAGGCAAGGCACTAAGTGAGTGAAGGATCCTCAGAAATGGTGTTGACAGGAATTTGTGAGATCTAAGAATAATATAGAAGTATCAAGCAGTGTGACTGATTGTACAGATGACTCAAAGGTTATCTTTCTCTTGGTGTCACTCCATGTGCTTTCTGGAATGGAAAAGAAAGGGTTGGAAAAGAGCTACCAGATCAGGAACATCAGAGTGTGAATGATACATGTCCTGATCTGGCAGTGGATACACGACTGAGAGCAGTTTATTCAGCCCTGTTCCTTTAATGACCTCCACCACAGTGCTAAGGCTACAAGAGGATTGCAGCCTGTCCTTTAACTAGCTAGTTTCTAAAGACTCTTGTCTTACAAAAGCTAATACAGCAGCTACCATTTATGAAATACGTGGTGGTCCTGCCTGTACTTCCCAGTAATAGTTCTTCTCTTTCATCAAACTGATTAATGAAAATTATTCATGAAGACCCGAGGACCTACTTTTTTTTGGTGGTATTGGGGCTTGAGCTTAGGGCTTCATGCTGGCCAGGCAGTATGCCACTTGAGCCCACCTCGACCCTCAACCCCAGTGTCTTCTTACTACAGATATAGTCAGCAGTTCTTCATTTATAATCGTATTTTTTTTTTAAAGTGAGGCCAAACTTATGTTTCCACATCTGGGAAATAGTTGTAGCACCACATATGAGTTAATTTTCCTGGCTGCATAGGCCAGTTTTACCAATTTGTGCATGTCTGAAACATCAGTGGAAAAATAATGAGTTGAGGCAGATTCTTAAAGCTGTTTTGAGACTTGGGAACATAGTGTCTAATTCTAGGGACTTAATGTGGAATAAATCACCTTATTTGTTATCGTTAACAAAAGGAGGAAATTTCTGAGGCAGATTGACAGTCTGAAAGCAACCTCATCCTAAACATAAAATTGTTTCCTGAATTTTTGTCTAAAATAAAGAATCATGATTTTTTAGTATAATGTAAAACCAGCACTTTTTTCTAATGGAAAAGTGAGGTAAATGATTGAGATAATACTATGAAATGTTATTATTCGTGGTTTTGTGTTACAGATAATAACTAGACAGGCATACTAATAAAAAGTGGTCAGTTGCAGGATCTTTTTTTATTATTATTTAAGACCTTTATTAGGTGCTTGCAATTTGTTGACTTTTTTTAAAAAATCAAGTTGTAAACTTTTATTACATATTATTTAATGTTGTAGGTAATGAATACATAGCCATTATACTAATTGAAATTTTTTCTTAATTGGGCATGGTGGTGCATATCTGTAGTTCCAACTACTAGGAAGGTTGAAGCAGGCAGATTGCTTAAGTCCAGGATTTGGAATCCAGCCTGGGCAGCCTGGAAACACCCCATCTCAAAAACAAAACAATGCCAGGCACTGGTGGCTCTCGCCCTTAATCCTAGCTACTTAGGAGGCAGAGATCAGGAGGATTGTGGTTCAAAACCAAAGCCAGCCTGGGCAAATAGTTTGTGAGACCCTCTCTCAAAAAACCCTTCATATAATAGGGTTGGTGCAGTGGCTCAAGGTGAAGGCCCTGAGTTCAAATCACAGTACCACAAAAAAAAAAAACAGTGGTTGATTCCTGAATTGATCCAAACATTGGTAGCAGCTGTAGTAGTACTCTTGAGGCTTCACCAATTGCTGCAGTGATACAGATGAGTGTAAACTGGCATTTGCACTGGGATACATTTTGTGGCCAATTTGAATTTCTTTTAAAAAATGTGTGTATAAAACAAAAACAATTTATATAAATGTTATCGAAGCTATAGCTACCAGGCTATGCTGATGGGTTTATTTTTGTTTGGTTGGTTGGTTGGTTTTTTATTTGTTCTTTTTGAGCCTCAAACTTTTCTTGGGTACTGGGATTACAGTTATGTACCACTGTGCCTGGCTCTGTATGTGCTTTTATGAAACATAAAAACAGATTAGGAGAGTGTTTCAGACATATGAAGAGATAAAAGCCCAGTCCAGGAATTACCAAGTGTGTCAGGTTTTGGCCTGCATTCGTTGAAATGAGTGTTTACATAGCAAAGAATAACTGTAAGGCTTTTCTTTGTTCAATGAAATTGACTTTCTCTCTTTGTGAGGCTACATTCCTATGGTGTAGAACTTCTCAATTTTGGGAAAATCTGAGGGAAAAGTATAGACACTGTCCAGTGGAAGAAGGGGGGTTATGCAGTCACATATTTATAAACTATAATTTTAAGGGCATCCTTGTATTCATATAATATCCCCTACACTAGATAGGTGCTTTCCAAGCTCATGTGCATAGGATTCTCCTGGCAGTCTTCAGGAGATCTGGGTAGAATCTGGAACTCTACATTTCTAGCTACTCCCAATGGGTGGATGTCCTGAGCCGGAGGTGTGGCTCAAGCTCTAGAGTGCCTGCCTCTACAGTGTGAAGCCCTGAGTTCATACCACAGTTCTGCCAAAAAAACCCCAAAAATGTCAACAACCCAAGGGTGGATATGGTGCTGGTCTGTTCACACTTGAAGTAGCAAGGTTCTACACATGTGACCAACATGGGCCATGGTCACATGTAGCAAAATTTGAGCTAACCAAAACTTAAATTCAGCTTCTCATTCACAGTAGTTACTTCTCAATTACTTCACAACCAAATATACAACTAGTGACTCTATATTAGATAGTGCTACCCTAGTTAACAAATCAATCACCCAAGACAGGAGTGTGTGACCCCCAGTAATGCTAGGTGATACATGTGCCAGTGGGGTCACATTGTAATTAGGTGTGTGGCTCATACTTTAAATAGATCCTCTCTTAAGAGTCCTTTGAACTCACTGTATGCTGCCACTTCCTGTAATTACTTGCACCCTTGCTTTCAATTAGATGCTCTTACTCAAAAGTTAAGTTAAACCGGTCTTAAGTCTCTGTAGCCTTGTTATACCATACAAAAAATTTACCTACACACACACAAAAAAGTTTTAACTGCTATAATTAAAAGTTTTTCTGGCTGGGTGCTGTGGCTCACACCCGTGACCTCGGCTACTTTGGAGGCAGAAATCAGGATGGTTGCAATTCAAGGCCAGCCTGTCCCCCGTCCTCCCTGCCAAGGGATGGATAGTTTCAGTTAATAAGCTAGGTGTGGGAGCATGCACACCTGTAATCCCAGCTACACAGGAAGCATAGGTAGGAGGGTCATAGCCCAAGGCTGGTCCCAGGCAAAAAGCAGGACCCTATCTAAAGATAACAAACAAAAAGAGCCAGGGGCATGACTCATGGTTGAGTGCTTATCTAGCAAGTGCAGGACCCTGAGTTTAAAAAAAAGAAGAAGAAAAAGAAACTTCTGTGTTGTAGCTTCTTATGAAAGCAACAGCTGCAAGAATGGTTGGAGGGTCGTATTTTGTTGTTGTCCTGTGAGAGTACAGGGTTGGCTTTGTGTTACAGCTTTTCCATCTGCGCTAAAGACTCCTGGCAAGTGACCAGTATGTAAAAAGACACAAGAAACTAGTGAGAAAAGTTATTCAAAACCTTTGTCTCCTAATGGGTATTTACCGCCCCCTCAAATGCTGCATGTTTCTCTTCAGCAGTTCTGTCCAATAAAATAAGTGAGCCACATACAGTGGTTCCTCTTTATCCATGGAGTAGTCCCAAGACCCCAATGAATAATAGCCACCTTATAGATGCTGTTTTTTTCTTACACAAATATGGCACAGTAAGATTAGCAATAGTTACTAGTACTAAATAGAACAGTTCTAACAACATACAGTAAAAGGTATCTGAATGTGCTCTCCCTCCCCCCAGTATATTGTACTGTACTGAATTGTCACACTGATTTCCTGCAGGTAACTGAAATTGTAAAAACCAAAACTAAAGCTGAGAGGGATTACTGTATAGAAATAGACGTTTTCTAGTAACCAAATTAAGAAAGTGAAATTTCTTTTAGTTATACGTTTTATTTAAACCAATATATCTTTTTAAGTTGGGAATGTGAAATTTGGATTTAAGGCTAGTAAAGTATGATTTGAAATTCTTAATGGGTTCCGTTTTAAGGTGATTGGAAGTAGCTACCTTTGCTGTGGGAACACTTAACAAATGCGGTTATTAATAGGTTCTGAAATTTGAAGATGTTTGAGGTTTTAAGTAGTGAAGATGACACCTTGTAATCTTCTCTTCTATAAATAATGCAGAATTGATCCTTAGTGTAGCCTCTGTTTAGATTTTAAACTCCCAGTTCATGGAATATAAATTGAGGTTTGGGGGATGAAAAAGAAGGAAAAAGTCAGAAGTGAATAAAACTGTGCTAACAGATGAAGCCGAGGGGCCAGGCTATGCAGATGGCAAGGCGATTTAGGCAGGACTGAGGTTTTGGTTTGGTTTTGTTACCGGCAGTTTCATTGAGATATAATTTACATACCACACAATTCACCCATTTGGTTTGTAAAAAATTTAGGATTTTTAGTGTATTTGGAGTTGTGCAACCATTATCACAACCAATATTACCATATTTTTATTACGTCCAAAAGAAACCTCATCAAAGAATTGTAAAATAAAGTATAGTAAAAAAAAAAAAAAATACAAAAGAAACCTCATGCCTCTCGGCAGTCACATTGTATACTTGCCCCAGCCCCAACCCTGGCAACCACTGCTTTATTGGCAAGTAGTACTTCCTGTATTTGTAGCTTTGTCTATTCTAGTGGCTTGATACAACTGAAATCATACAATACTACCTGTATTTAGCATAATATTGTCAAGTTTTATTCATGTTGTAGTATGTATCAGGACATCATTCTTTCTATAGGCAAATAATACTCCACATATGAATAGACCACATTTTGT